AGTGTCTACACAGTACAGCTCGAAAATAAAGGTATTTGTTCTACTTCGTTACATTAGCAAACTGGAGGTGCACGATCTTTCGAAGGATAGTGGGTTTTTGTTATAGATTCAGCTACTCTGAACAAGTTCCAAGCAGCACCGGCTAATGGTGAGCCCGTAACTTACCAGGCACAGGAGCGGGGCAAGTAGCACGGGCTATGTTGAGCCCGTAACTTACCTGGCACAGGAGCGGGGCAAGTAGCACGGGCTATGTTGAGCCCGTAACTTACCTGGCACAGGAGCGGGGCAAGTAGCACGGGCTATGTTGAGCCCGTAACTTACCTGGCACAGGAGCGGGGCAAGTAGCACGGGCTATGTTGAGCCCGTAACTTACCTGGCACAGGAGCGGGGCAAGTAGCACGGGCTATGTTGAGCCCGTAACTTACCTGGCACAGGAGCGGGGCAAGTAGCGCGGGCTATGGTGAGCCCGTAGTGGACTTACCTGGCACAGGAGCGGGGCTGTGTGGTCTACGAAGGATAGACAAAACAAACATTTACTCCAGTGACGAGTCCTGTAGCCCAACGGGACCACAGCCCCCCCCCCCGCACGGGTAACACTTGGCCCGTCCTCCTAAGGTTTCCCAACTTCGAGAAGACGATCAATGTAAAGTGTCTTCCCCTAACCTTACCAGAGGACCCACAACGGAAAACGGGACAGTACGTCACGTTCGCCAGCCGCTTCCATGTTCTAGTACGACCATTTTTTGGTCTTACGTAACGCATACGATTGAAAATCGACGTGCTTTGTGAGGGGACAGGTTGGCCCCCCTCTCCCCCCTCCCCCCCTGCAGGCCAACTCTGGTAGTCCAGCTGAAATGACCAATCCTATGGTCTGTGACGCGCAATACTTTGTGGTCTGATTAGTACGCTATAGACCACAAAAATCGAATCATTCATAATAATAATAATGCTAAAGATCGTCTTTTTCAACACACTCTCAACACTTGAAGTACAGGAGCACAATGCCGTACAGGAAATGGAGCAGATTTTTCGTATTTTTAATGAAAATAGTGATGTTAATACAGGTATTTGAGTGTTACAATGCTCGAGTGAGGGATTTCCTGGTAGCAGCGTGAGCAACTGAGATATGAGGTGCCCCCCTCATAGCCGTGGAGGGAGGTGAGGTGACTCACATTAATTCAGGGCCAGGTGTAGTCCATATTTTGTGTTGAGCCCGTTCTTTACCTTCCGGGAAGGTATATACGCGCTGTCTACCTTCCGGGAAGGTATATACGCGCTGTCTACCTTCCGGGAAGGTATATACGCGCTGTCTGCCTTCCGGGAAGGTATATACGCGCTGTCTACCTTCCGGGAAGGTATATACGCGCTGTCTGCCTTCCGGGAAGGTATATACGCGCTGTCTGCCTTCCGGGAAGGTATATACGCGCTGTCTACCTTCCAGGAAGGTATATACGCGCTGTCTACCTTCCAGGAAGGTATATACGCGCTGTCTGCCTTCCAGGAAGGTATATACGCGCTGTCTGCCTTCCAGGAAGGCATATACGCGCTGTCTACCTTCCAGGAAGGCATATACGCGCTGTCTACCTTCCAGTAAGGCATATACGCGCTGTCTGCGGGGTTATAAAGGACACAGTGGCTTGCAGGACGCTGGAAATAACATTATAGATTAAATAATCACCAAAGAAAAATGGCCCCTTGGCCGGGTTCGAGTAAGATAACTTGAAAACGGACTACATGTCAGGTTGTTCAACACTTTGGTGGGTCCCCCCCTGAGGTGTCTTGTATCCCAGGCCTAACTGGGACACTTCCTAGCTGTATATATACAGCTGTAGTGCGTAGCTGTGGGACGGGAGACATCTCCCGTCACGCAGGGTGCAGTCGCACCTCCACAGATCTCCAGTATCATCTATTGATACTGGTAATGGCTCAAAAGGGCCACCACTTACGGGCTATTCATGCCCGTGCCATCTTTTGGGTGGCTTAATCTTCATCAATCATCGGCTGTGGGTCACGAAGCTCGACTGTAGGTTGTGTGAAGCTCGCTGCTCCTCACACAGCCTATTTATGAAACGTCGACTATATGATTAAAATGAATAAAATGTAAAATTAATCTTTTTCTTTTTAACGTGTATAGTATGATGACGGCTGAAATGTTTGGATCAGCTGGTTTCAATTTTTTTTTTTGACCGGAGCTCTTTCGCAGGCCTAATTTGAATTTCTGTAAAGGCAATGAGTTTGTCATAATTGTGTAGTTGGCAGCTATGTGGTGTGTTATAAACTTGACTAGTTCAGGTTTTAATGCGGACCAAACACTTGATTGAAAGGAAATTGAAATAAACACAATTTTATGTAAATCTTGTTCTTGAGATGACAGTGTGTTCAGTGAGGATAGGCGAGATATTTTGCCGGGACGTGACCATTTGGGACGGTGGCGATAGCCACACACTCCAGCCCATCATGTTTATTTAAACTAAAAACCCGTCTTGACAGGTTTTAAAAAGACTAGGCTCCAGATGTTTGTTAATTGTTACACCTCCCCCCCCCCCTTTCCCACACTTCTTCCTTGTCTCCGTCTCATTGTATATCCCTCTCCCTCCTACTCCACCTTCCCACCCCCTCTTCCTCCCTCATAACTGGTAAACAAATACTGTATCCGGCTAATTAGAGAGGTAGATCTTCCTGTCTGGTGGTGGTGAATCTATGAACGGATTGTGGCGAGTAAATACATCCGGTTTCGTCTCTTGAGTTGTCAAAGTTGCCCTTGCTGGATGGAGACCCCCTCCCGTCACTCACAACCATCACCATTATCATAATTATAATAATAAAAAAAATGTCCTCTGTGCACAAATGTGGCTTTGCTTCACCTCGAGCGACAGCGTCGAGTCAGCTGTTAGACTTGTGACCTTCTGATGCCGTCATATCTGGTTTTAAAGCTGTGGGTGGAGTTCCTTCAATACTTCCTTCTCATTCTCTTAGTCCATTCCTCTTGTCTTGTTTACTTCTTGTACACTAAGGAAGCTTCCCTACATCTTGCACCCATCTATGCGTCTTGTTCCGTGGTCTTGTTCCGTTTCGTCTGTCAAAATATGCGGTGTACTTTATCTATGCATTCTTAAATCATTGCATGTTGGTAATGTTGTCTAGTTCTGCTGTCTCCTGCTAGGCGCGTCCACCCAAAAAATTACGTGTTCATGGATAATATTAGTTTACAGATATAACTCGGGGTCCCATTTTCTGTTGATCGTCTAATTCAAGGACTCGCGGCCCTTAACATCCGCTTTTAAAGCTGATGCATAATTCATTGTGTTAGAGGACAGGCAGCCAGTGTATATATATACAAGTTGAGCTAATATCAAGGGGTCTCCCCAAGGGTGAACTACTGACCCCTGGCCAGGATGCAACTCCACAACAAGCTGACTAACTCCTGGGTACCTATTTACCGCTAGGTGAATAGATGCATTAGGTGACAGGAAACACGCCCAATCATTTGTCCCATCCGGGATACAAACCCGGAATTCCTGATTGTGAATGGGGAACAAATAGTGTACGACCGAGACCCTAGAATGAGGATGGAGTTAGCCCGTACTCTTTGACCGTCTTATTAGTTTCTCTTCACTGTCTTTACACTGTAGTCTTTTCACCTTAACATTGTAAAGTAGTTAAGCGCTCGCGCCCTTATGAGTATCACGGCACCGCTCCTGTGCCAAGTAAGTTACGGGCTCACCATAGCCCGTGCTATTTGGAACTTGTTCAGAGTAGCTGAATCAATAACACCATTATTTTAAGAGTGTTCAGTAACTTGGGACTATCTTTGTTGACAAGCCCACTTAATGATGGGCTTTCATGAATTTTATTGTGCGTGTTGGGGGGGGGGGGGGGAAGTTGAGTACAATTTTCTACCCTTAACATTTCACCACTTGGCCTGATGCTGGGCGTGAGTGATCACAGTAGTGTTGGTTACTATCGAAACTCAAATAAAGTTTGCAAAAGCTTAAGGTTAGCAAAAAATGGTTTTAGTCTGAATATTTGTCTTGTAACTACACCATGTACTAAATAAATTATACAGCTGTAATAGGTTTAACGTAATAGGTCTTGAGAATTAGGTTACATCTGATTAATATCAGATTTATTTTTGAGAATTGGACCAATTAATTACCAAGAGTGCCTGCTTGGTGGCAGCTGCACTTGTGCTGCCTCACAAGGTACGACTTATCTTAGACTTGAGTGATGGAGGGAGTACGAGGCATCTATCACGGTCTGCTGGGATGGGGGAGGAGGGGGGGTGGGGTGGCCAGGGCCTGTCTGACAAGTTGGCCTCACAGGAGTTGGAGGGAGACTCGACTATCAGGTGGTGTTTGACCTTGTGCAGGACCTGTTTGACTTTGGTGCCTGAAGGCGTCTTGTGTTGCACAGAGGGTATAAGTATCCTGGGAGGGCAAGCAATTTCAGACCAAAGCCGGATGGCACAGTTGGTTGCAATACTAGACTGTGGCACTAGCCTTTCAGTGTAAATTTTGATATTCCAGATATGTGGTTTAGTGTGCGAAGGTAACCTGACAGGCAGCTTTCAGTTGCCTAGCAGTGAAACAGTCAGACTTCTGCGCACATGCCTGTGTTGGCCTTGAGTTTTTGCAGTTAAAATTGGCAGGGAAGACAGGTGGCTTGTTGGGTGGGATTTAGAACCAGGAGGGGTAGGGAAGAGTAGGAGGAGGGGGGGGGAGATCGAATTTTATGAACTGCATTATTCCCTAAGAGCCAATGATTAACCTAAATTTCATTATTGCATTACAAATTTAAAATTATAAAATGTTTTTTTGTGACCCGAGAAATTAAACCTTGCTTGTGTCTGTAATACTCTGATCAATATAGGTTGTATTATAATGATAGTTTACTTGAGGTTCTTGTCAAGACTCTTATCTCGTCAAGTTCTTGTCTGGCACTTGACCACGTTGCCTCTCTGCTTCATGTTTATGATTAATTAATTACCCCATTTTGTGAAGGTGTTGGGCGAGGATGGTGATGGTGGCGGGTGCGTGTGGTATGGAGAGTGTGGCAGGAACCCAGAGGCACTCTCACATGGCACAGCCAACTGCCCCTACAGCGGGGGCCCCAAGCCCCTCGACCCCATTGCCGAGGCCACACTCGCTTCCGTCTGTCCCGAGTTTGTCGCAGATATATGTGAGTCAAATTATACTGTACACAAATTGTATTAACTCCTTTACTATAAGTTGCATATTTTTGTTGTATGCTGTATTGACACTGATTTTTTATTAAATTCGTACTGTAATGTTTGGCCCATAACACCAGAAAATTCTTTTGAGTAAACTCTTGAACACATTGTGGCAAATATTTTGAACAAATGTACCTGTATAATAAAGTAGGGTATATAGAGTTGTTGGAAACATTTTTGCAGCTTCTGTTGACCCAAGTGCCAACCTAAGCACGTGTTGCGATGCGGCTCAGGTGACAGCAATGGTCACACAGATGGTACTGGGCCAAGGTCTACTCCAGCGATGTCCAACGTGCGTGAGGAACTTCCGTCTGATCTACTGCTACATGACATGTAGTCCTCGCCAGATTGACTTCATGTTTCCCAAAAATACATCCCATGCCCTATTCACAAGTGAGTAGCACTGATAATTCTGCTTTGCATAGTGTTCTCGTCATATTTATAATCCTTGGACTATAAATATGATGTTTATCATATTGCGAGTTCATCATCAAAACTAAGATTCAAAGGTTACCTGTTTAAGAGGAAAAAAAGGCTCGGTGCTTACCTGCCAATGTCTACAAGAATAAATCCTAGCTCTTTGAGCACTGCTTCCTAACTTTTTGTACCTAGTGTTATTTTCACTCTACATCACTTCTTGCAGTTGTGGATGGAGGTAGCCTCCATTTTAATTACCTTACAATGGTAGAGTTCTTCTCTCTTTTTAAAGCAGCTATGTTTCTGCCCACTCCATGCATTTGTCAAGGTCTTCAGTCCTTAGTATTTACTTTCCTTCTTCGGCTGCAAATACTGATGTCTACGAATGCACAGTCATAGAATAATTTATATAAATTAGGAATAACAAGAATCCTTGAACTGAGGCTTGAGAGAGCCAGCTTACTAAATCCTCCCAGTCTGACACATCCTGTCTATCATGAACTCGTATACATAGTTTAACATCTTCCCACTTAGCCCAGCTTCTCACTCCATCTTGCACACAGTTACGGGCTACTCATGCCCGTGCCACCTCTTGTGGGCTTAATCTTCAACGGTCATCTTGCACACTAGCCTTTTAAAGAATTCTATCAAATCCCTGTGAAGCTCTAGCATTTTGTTGTTTTAAGGGTTTTCATAATGTTGTTGAATACACCTTTGTTTACTATGGCAATTCTTGATATTGTGATCCTTGTGATACCAAACATTCAGGCTTTGTTGAAACCAGACTTGGAGAAAGATGATTTGGGGTCTCGGTAGTGCAGTTGTGTTCGTTCTCAATTCTCGGTTGGGAATTCCAGGTTTGAATCCCAGGCGAGACAGAAAGGGTTGGGTACATTACCTACCACCAAATATGTGTGTTCACCTACTAGTAAATAGATACTTGGGAAGGGTCAGTAGTTTGACCTTGGGAGTAGGGGGGGGCATCAATATAAGCAGGATTTGTATGTATTCAATACATACTTTATAATACACAGCCTGCCTGTCCCTAATAAAACTAATTCTCTCATTTTGGTTCGGGGGAAAAAGGTTGTCCAAAGCTTAGTAGATACTTTGCGGTAGATCTCAACGAGGCTCTCCTCAATGCATCTATAGTAATTGGGAAGTCTTGTTTTTCTCAATGTTTTAAATTTTCTTGAGCAGCCAAGTTGCTTTTGTTTCAATTATTGTAAGCCTTCATCTTGCCATTTGCACATACTGAATATAAACAACTAGCCCATGTATGTTAGCCTTGATAAATGTCCTTGCCAGAACGATTTTATCGACGAAGTAGACACGACTTTTTCTCTGAATTGTTATCAATTTCTTGGGCTCGGTTTAAATGTCTATTTAAATATTAAGGTTTGGTAAAGGAATGTTTTATAGGTTGGAAGACTGTTTGGTGTCGAGTTGATAATTAAATTGATGCATATGAACTTTGCAGTTCTCATTAGCACTAATTCTGGCCACTGTTGTTTATATCAGTGTTTCATGTTCATTTTTAAATGAATACATGCATACAAATATATCACTGTTTACTCTGGCAACTGTGTACTGGGAGTATGTAATATATTTGATTCTATTGGCTTTAAAGACGAGAGATAACAATTAGAGGTGTCTCCAAAGAACAGATTTAATCTTTTACTTAAACTTTTGAAAAGTGTTAATTTAACTTCACATATTCTTGCAATAGTAGTTAAGAATGTCAGTGCTAAATGTACTTTTTGCTTTCAGATAAGACGATCATCACCGATCTTGAAGTACACGTTACCCCCGAGTTTATAGATGGTGTGTATTCCTCGTGTAAAGACGTTGCCATGCCATCAACCAATGAGAAAGCATTGTCAATAATGTGTGGCATATGGGGAGAATACTACTGCACTGGTCAACGCTGGTTTGAGTACATGGGATCAGTCTCCAATGGTTATGCCCCATTTCAAATAGACTATGTATATGAAGAGAGTTCTAATACAACATTTAAGCCTTTCAACCAGACTATCATCCCCTGCAACATGGGAGCATCTGTAAGTATAAAGTGGCCTCATAGATATAATTTTTAGCATTTTTTTATAGTTAATTTTTCTATTTTTTTTTTTCTTGAAAGGCTTTTTAGAAATGTAGCTAAAAATAGTGTCAGTCACAGAAATGTTTGTTAGCGTGCTAAGGCAGCGTAATTTGAGTGTGCTAAGAGTATGCACATTCTTGGCGCAGTAATGTACAGTACTCTTATACAAGTGTACAGGGAGCCGGTCGGCCGAGCGGACAGCACGCTGGACTTGTGATTCTGTGGTCCCGGGTTTGATCCCGGGCGCCGGCGAGAAACAATGGGCAGAGTTTCTTTCACCCTATGCCCCTGTTACCTAGCAGTAAAATAGGCACCTGGGTGTTAGTCAGCTGTCACGGGCTGCTTCCTGGGGGTGGGGGCCTGGTCGAGGACCGGGCTGCGGGGACACTAAAGCCCCGAAATCATCTCAAGATAACCTACACACTTGGGGTGCCATTGTACAGAGTCTATCCCATGTCTTCTGGAAAGATGGATACCGAGATGAGTGGAAAGGAAGTCATTAATAATGATGAGCACTTTGCCTTAAAGATGCTGCATCTTTATATGACATGCAAATGTCAAACGTGGTAATGCAATGGATGCCAAATACTTTTGAAGTATGGAAACAAATTTAGTAGTACAGTATTTATGAAATTATAAAATACTGTGTTAAAATTAACAATCAACAATACTGTAGTCCATTACCCACTTATTAGAGTACACAGAATATTGTAGCAGGGAAGCACATTCTGTAGAGTATTTGTGAATGCGGTACTGGAGGAAATGGGGCCTAAGATTTGGGACACTTGGTCGTTTCTAATGATTTCCATACAACACCACTTGAAACTAATACTGTACATTCATATTTGCAAAATATGAAGTGGATAAACCTTCATAGTGTAAATTACTATACTATACATAATTTGCACTTTCATCGCCTGGTGAACCTATGTCTGCCAGTCTTCCTCTGGTGCATTGTCCATCTTATGCTTTTGCACACGTGTTGGCTTGTTCTAGGGCATCTAATGCCACACCTACTCAGATTAAGTCTGAGGAACATGAATTTTTTTTCCTGGTTAAACCAGCATTTCACCTCTGCAATGTGTCTTTTGCCACTCCCTTGTTGCATACCTTCCCAACTTGTTTTTCCTAACATTTGCAGAGACTTGCTATTTAATACTGTGTAATAATACTGACTTGGTGCATTTTGATAATTGCAGAATGACTCTCGAGCGTGTAGCTGCTTGGACTGCAAGGCATCGTGTCCCCAGCCTTCCCCCCTTCCACCGCCACCACAACCGTTCACCATATTTGGTGTTGACGGGCTGGAGGTGGTCATGGCTCTAGTGTTCCTGCTCATTGCATCAACATTTACTGTGGTTTATATATGTCTTTCATGCCGCTCTCGAAGTGTCGATAGTAAGTAAATAGGCAGCATTTTGTTCCCTTATGATCATTCATTATAAGATTTTGTGTGTTTGAATTAGTATATATTTTGTAGTGCTGCCTCGAATATGACTGCTATCCTTCCTGTCTATTGTGGATTTGCTTGACATTTTGAGTTTTCAACATACTAATCACTTTTGGTTATTTATCTGGTACTGTATGACACCTCCAAATGTTTGATTTTTCATGTAAAACCAGATTGAAAAATGAACTGTAGAATTTAGTTTGAATTGTGCTTAATGGGGTTTTCCACGGAACCAACTATTTCTTTATGGTGTCTGTATCTGTGAAAATCATTGCATGAAGATAAATGCAATACAGTATTAATTTTTGCCATGCTCTATGAGCAAACATTACAGCCAAATTTTAATTTAAACCTTTCCTAGGATTTCTGCCATACCATCTACTGGGAGAACCTGAATGTAAAAAGATTTGACCATCCCAAGTACTCCATGTTCTCAACTGCTTGGACTGGTTGGTAGAGCAACGACCTTGTGTCTTGCAGGGGACAGTTTGATCCCCAGTGGTCCAAGTGGTTGGGCACAGTTCCTTAACCCCGTCCTCATATCCTACCTACTTGTTCTAGGGGCCTTTGAAAGTGCTACATAATCATACCAGCTTAGTACTATTGTCTCGTGATTACCTTGGTATTTCAGTGAACTGACCCCGTGAAGCTTGATTTTCAATGGTGTAAATCACCCATTCTCAATGGGAGACGATATCATCCCTAGGGCATACCCCCTTGAAATAATTCTGGTTTGCACTTTAGATAAACATGGATTTAATTTCAAGTGAAAGGAGACAAGTTCTGTCTTTGTTCTTGATGCTGGTTAAGTGAGAAAATTAAACAAAAAGATTCAGAATACATTTACATATTATTAGAAATAGCCTATCTTATCATTTTATCTTGCAAACCCCTTAGTTACCTTTGGGTTCCACGGAGCCGAGGTTGAGAAACGCTGGTGTACATGATTCGGACCTATTGACTTTCCTATGCCCAAAATGTATTCTTTAGCTCCATGATTTTCTATGAAAATATTTTCTATGAAAAGTACAGTATCTTGAACTATTTCAAATTGAGAATTGAAACAATATGGTCTTGTAACCATTTTCAGAAAATCATAATTGGCACATCTACTGTTTGAAAATGATTGAAAATTGCTGCTACTAAAAAATTAAAACCATCCAGATGATTTCTTGTAATCTGTTTCATTACAGCCCCCTTCAGAAATCTGGACTTGTTTCAACATTCTAAATTTGCAGGAGAGATCCAGTGGGCAAATTTAGATTTTAGAAGGGTCCATTACATAAAGATTTTTAAGGGAGCAATCAATTAAAATTGCTGAATTGTGGGATAAGGTTAGTACTGTACCATATTTGAGTATAGTATTCTGGCATTGTATCACAAATTAAGAGCCATAAAATCTGCCTGCTTATATTAGGCATCTTGAAGGACACCTTCAATTCTTATTCAGTGCCGGTTCTTTTAGCGAGTAGAGCAACTGACCCTTGCCAATCATTCGCTCAACAGAGGTTGAAGGGAAGGGAACTATCAGGAGAAGGTGCCAAGCTATTACAACTAAATAGCACTGGGAAAGGGTCAAGATAAGGATTTGGGAAGGAAGGGAAGTAAGGAATGGGATTGAATGCCAACCTGCATGAAGCGAGACTGTCGCTCTACCGTCCACCCCAAGTGGTTGGGTCAACCACTTGGATGTTGAGCGAATGATTATAATTAAGTGCCCAATCACTTGGTCAGGGTGGTAGTGATGGTTGCACTTCATGCAGATTGTCGTTCAATCCTCGACTATCCAAGTGGTTGGGCACCATTCTTTTTCCCTGTCCCATCCCAAATCTTTATCCTGATCTCTTCCAAGTGCTATATAGACGCTGGTGCCATAGTGGCTTGGCACATTCTCCTGTTAGCCCTCTTGCTCCTCAATATCTGTTTTGAGGACTAGGCTAGACAGAAAACTATGGCAGTCCCTGGTGCAGTAAAACTTGTGCATATTAGTCAATCAGATCTGTAAAAGCTCTGAATGTTTGCAAAGATATTTTTCGAACAAAAAATCTGAGTTACTGTATATTCTATAGCAGTTTATACCATATGCTGTATTCCATTCCCACTGGAATTTTCAGATTTGTTCATTTTGTCAGTTTACATATTTTGTTCCTTGTTCACATTTCTTGCAGCTTTTATCATGTACTGTATTGATCCATTTTGTAGATTCCATATTCATGTAGCAAGCAAGTGGGTTTTATACATTAAGGCTGGGTAATTACGTATGTTGGTATTCTTCAGGATTGTAGAGGATCAGTTTTCTTCCATTCACATTCGGCGAGGCACTAATACATGGCACTAAACATTCACATGTTTAGTGCCATGTATTTTTATAGTTAACATAAATTTCTCTTTGCAGTTGCAGTTGACACCCCTACTGGACCATCATGGGCAGAAGTTCCTAACTGTTTGGAAAAAGCTGGATCATGGATTGATGATGTATTAGAGAAGTTCTTCACAGCATGGGGCACTGGTATGAAATTGTGCTTCTGGAGTTCTCTTTTTGTATTCTCTAATGTTGATGGCAAGAATTGCAATTTAATTTTGTTGCTTGAGGACGTTTAATATTAAACTATTGTTTGTTTTTGGCTGTGGAATTTAGTGCCTAATAATCATGTTTTATTGATGTCTTTGAATTGTGCAAAACCAATTTTTCTTCCAGTGTGTGCCGAACATCCTTGGACTGTGCTCATAGTGGGATTGCTTGTATCAATTGGGTTGTCTGTTGGTATCATCTTCCTGCGTGTGACCACAGATCCTGTTGAACTTTGGGCTGCCCCTAATTCTAGATCACGTATTGAAAAGGAATTCTTTGACAAGAATTTTGAGCCCTTTTATCGTACAGAGATGCTCATTATTCGTCCAGTTGGAGTAGAAACGGTGGGTTTTTTAATTATTGTACAGTACTAGCAAAGTGGCATGCGCTTCAGTTGCTTATCAGACATGATGGCATATTCCATTCAATTACTGTAGTTTTAGAATACTGAAATGTTAATATAAATGGTATGTACTGTATCTAGATTATAAGAATATTATTAAGTTAGAATTTGAGTTTTACTGCCCCGATTGGAGACAGTCTGGACAGTAGTAGTACATCCTGTAAATGTCAAATGTCCATAGCCTCTTGGTCTATTTAGAACTTTGTGCTTTATTTTTATCAGTGTATTACAGAGTGGAGTCCAGATTTTTGTTGTAACATGATTTTGGTTCATCATGGTTTTGTTTAGTCAAGTTATCTTGTAATAAAAACTGACTTTCCATTTTTAATTTGTTAGGTAATAAGTTGATATCTACAAGCCTAGGGAATTGGTCTTTGTGACTGTAATAAGAGCTAAATGTGGCTGTTAGTCTTGTAAAAGTGCTTAAAGTTGTTATGGTTCACAAGACTTGCTATAATTTAATTTGTGCTTGAAGAAAATGGAAGTGTTATAAATTTCCTTCTCCCCAGGTTTCCCATGAAACCCCTGATGGACTGGAGGTATGGGGCCCAGTGTTCAACAAGACCTTCCTCTCTGAAGTCCTTCACCTTCAGAACTACATTACTAATGAGGTAGGTCTTGTTTGTTTGCTTCCTCACCCGAAGTGACTTTCATCTGCCTTAAGTTGTTTCATGAGTGATTATTGCTCCCTTTAAAAGTTTTCAGTTTATGGGAAGTACAGTGCAACCTCGATTCATTGCACTATAAGGGACCATCTTCAATATATTGCAGTGAGGGATTCGTTACAACTGGAGATGCCTCTTGGATGCATTTCCCATGTACTTTAGGCTATTTTCATTAGGCAAAATTTTTATTTTAACCTATAATGGACAACTACCAAATGAGCATGTCTAAAATAAATGTAACTATGCCCAGCTTGCTTCTTGGGTCCTCAGCCTCAATACTCCTTATTAATCGCTTAAGCGTAAAAACAAAAATGTGTATACTCTTTTTACTCTTCTGACCTTAGTTCTCATGCTACGTATTTCATTTTGGTACCAACGTGTTCGCAATAAAATTCTCTAGAAGAACATCAGTAAAAAAAGTCACGAAACGTATAGGGATACCAGCACCAAATAAATAACTACGAAGATGACTCGCCGTGAGCGCCCATCAGCAACAAAATGTTTTTACTCTTGGGATTGTAATCACCTCCACACTTATTCTACAGCGTTAATTTTGGTATCAATGGACTCGCAATGAAATTCCCAACACAGTGATATGAATATAAGCGTAGAATAATGATGCGGCCCGCCCGCAAGAGTGTGGGAAGTGGTGAAATTGTTACCCGGTATCGGTGTTTTATTTTAACCTATAATGGACAACTACCAAATGAGCATGTCTAAAATAAATGTAACTATGCCCAGCTTGCTTCTTGGGTCCTCAGCCTCAATACTCCTTATTAAAAGGTAGCAGGAACATACCTGTGTGAATGGAAGTCTTCCTTTAGGCGAGTTCCCAGCTCACAATGAAACAAACCATAGATTTTGGCTTTAAATATCCTTAATAGCTTTCCCAAGGCTCCAACTATTTCTAGTAATGTTTAATCCGTCTACAAAAATAATCATATATGGGATTGGAGCCATATTAAGAGTGTTACCATTCCTACCCTAATATTTCCCATGTTCTATGGGTTGATTTCAGAGTGAAATTTTAATTTCAACCTGTCATAAGTCTGGGCTTACAGCATGTTAATGTCTCTTTCTGTTTCCACGTTGTTAAAATTAATGTTACTGTGTCGCTAAATATTTTTGTGCTAGTGAATTTATTCCTCTGGATGTCCCATTTAGGAATTTTTAATGAAGCTGATTTTAGTCTCCCCTACAAACCAAATTGTGAAGATCTGGTGACTGCTCCTTGGTATAATGCTCATCAGACTTCAATAGATATAAAAAAATTTTTTTTTTAATATACAGTAGTATTTAAATATGAAAATTGTAGCATAGGTAACTGAAATGCTTGTTGATATGATAGACCCGTTCTCTAGTGTTTCTCCCTTCACCTGTTTTTCTTTGTTGGATGGTTATAAGATGGTATTTTCTATTTTAAAGCATCCTTTTATACACTTGTGTTTTAACTAAATCAAGCCTTGCTTTTTTAAATATCCTATTTTTTCATTTAAGTTTACAACTATATTTGTATTTTTGATTGGATGTTTTTGCAGCTATCTGGCACATCTGAAAAGGAAGAAGTCCACCTGGAGGACATCTGCTTCAAGCCACTCTCCCCCACAAACGGCAACTGCACCATCCAGAGTGTCCTGAATTATTTCCAGAATAGTGAAACCAATTTGAATATTTCCATGAAAGATGAGTTTGGCCATGATATTAACTATCTTAACCACCTGGATACGTGCTTCAGGTAGGTTCACACTTCGGGTAGTGGGAGAGAAGGGATGGGGAAATTGATGCTTGACCCCCACTAGCACAGTTGAGTATACATACACAAGGTGCATTGATCACGTGTGAGAGGGAGCGAGTTGAACGAGTCTAAAAGGTACCAGAGTGGCTGTAACTCCAGACACGACAGGCTAGTAAACATGAGGATTGCGTTTTAAGAACTTGGAGAAATGATCCTTCTGATCATTACCACGATGAAGCTTTATCACACAGGTAATTCAATAATAATTATGTGAACTGGAACTGTTTCTGCCTCACCACAGTTCTATAGTTATCCTTGCTAGCGATAACTTTTTTGACTTGAAATACAGCATTTATATAGTACAGTACAGTACAGTATATGAAAAACTGATTACCTTCATTATTTGTCAGTACTGCATATACCAGTGGCATGTATTTAATATTTTTATTATGTTTAATATACGTACCAAGTTATATAGCAATTTTAAGAATACTGTTTATAATTTAGTTTGTATATAGACTTCAGATTTAGGGATCATCAACATCTCCTTTTGTTGGCTACAATAAAAATGATACTTTTTGTAAATAAATAAAATCAAAATTGTAAACTTTTCCTTTTTATTTTTCAGGAATCCTATCTCGCCTTTAGATCCTCACCTTCAAATTCCTTGTCTTGGGAAATATGGAGGTCCCGTTTTTCCCTACACTACCCTAGGAGGATTCCTGAATGGCTCTCAGGTCCTTGGAGCCAATCCACCCTACAAGAATGCTACAGCTTTGGTTATCGTTTTGGTTGTCAATAATTTCTATGATAAGGCGAAGATAGAGAAGGCAATGGCATGGGAGGAAGCGTGAGTTATTACTCTGGGTGTTGTAAAATCAGAAGTTGTTGGTTAAACATGTGCCCTTACCTATTTGTGCTTGTGGGTTGAAAGGTTTAGTACTAGGGTCTGCTTCTTCACTTTTAGGTACGTTACAAAACTGCTTCCTTTGCGTGCATATGCTTGTTAATGTGTGGTACATTTTCAGATGTGCATGTTCTGAAATGTATAAGAAATTAGATTCTCTGAATAAATTCCTTTTCATATGGGGCATTTTGATCTTTACTCAAATTCTTTTTTTGTACATTTTGTCACAAGTTTCATTACTTGCCTGTAAAAACAATGTTTGGTAGCAGTAGTGCTTACTGATTTTGCAGTCAGACGTGGTAGCTCTTGGAAAAAGTAAGTGCTAATGAGACTTGAAAGATTTAGTATATAACTGCAAATTGTGACAGGTCATACTAGATTCTTTCATATATACAATGTTGATGGAAATTGTAAGGTTGAAGAGTTTAGATGAGATGATTGGTTAGTAGTTGGAGGAAGCTACGAGACCGTAAGATTAGCAAAGAATGTATTTCCAGCATACCTTGAGAGGGCTCAATTGCATACCGAGTGCAAATGCAGATGGCTGTAGCAAACGAACAGCAATTGTAGGTTAGATTGTTTAATGGCCAAGGTGGTACCAAAATTAAGTACTGTATGTTGGATTACAGCAAGATTTCCCCGATTATCTTATTATGTACATGATCTTGTGTTGCCTCTGCCTTGGCTGCTCATACTGAAGTATTGATCCAGCTTACCAGGTGCTGCGATAACTAGTGCAGTGTACCTACTCGGTTCAGCCATAAATATTTTGTTAGTACTCAGGTTTGTGAGAGGCACAGCATCTTAGACACTCAAGTACTGATAGAAGTACTTAGTACAAGTACTAAGACGTTGTACAGTAATCTTAAAATGATAGTTTTTCCACGTGAGCAATTTTTTTCATTAGTTCCTTTTCTGTACACTGCTTAACTCAGATTAATTTTCTATCTACATATGTATTTAAAAGCTTGGAGTAAGTAAAGAGGAGCAATAAGGTGGTGGAAACAGATAACTTGTGCTAATATTTGCTTTTGGAACTTAGTCAAAACACGTAATGTTAAATTCTTCAACATGACAATACTAGTTGTATAGATGTGGATAAATGCAAACTAAAGTAGATATTCCATAATGAAAGTATTGTATGTAATAAAATGAGTTTGAGGGTCAAATTGAATGAATGGAGATTAAGAAATTAGATTTTCTTTTCCATAGGTATAAAGATTAGTATGAAGATTAATGTTTGAATTAGATTCTAATTTGCTTTAAAATAATTAAAATAAAATAATCTTCAGCTGAATATAATCTAAATTTTTAATGCTATTTCAAACTTGCAATTCAGCCCAATTCTTTCATATTAAATTCTTGCGTATAAATTTATATATAAATTATCAAAATTTTCCAAATTTACAAGTATCATTGACTTGTATGCATAATCCCATCCCATCAGTTTCCTCACGTATATGAAGAACTACACTCATCCGATGATGGACATAGCGTTCTCTGCAGAGCGAGCAATCCAGGATGAACTGAAGCGCGAGAGTGAGGGAGACGTGCTAACCATCCTCATCTCTTACTGCATCATGTTTGCCTACATTGCCCTGGGTAACATTTTTTTACCGGTCATGTATATTTTCCATGCAATTGAACAGATGGATGAGAGAAGGCACTAATCTATGAACATTTGTTCGCAAAATGGCGAGTCACAATAACGTGGTTGAAGAAATGATGACCAAACAACAACACGGAAGATGGCGAAGCGGCGACATTTCGGTCCGTCCTGGACCATTATCGAGTTGTCTTCATAATAATCCAGGACGGAGCGAAACGTCGTCACTTTTCCATCATCCAAGTTGTGGTTTGATCATTATTCACCAAATGGTGTCAGTCTCTGAAGAATGCATTAATTTTTAAATTAAAATGGTACTTGCTTTGATTCAAATTTTATTCTAACGAGATTGATGGTAACTCCAAAGTTTCTGGAAAATTGATAATCCTTAAAGTATGATCTGAAAATAATCCTTGATTTTGGCAATTATATTCTTGTAAAACCTATGTATTGCAAAATTTTGCTGCTCAATCTCATTAAAGGTGCAGTAAATGGGAACAATCAACACAATCCAAATATCTTTCAAAATAAAAAAAAAAAGTAAAAAATTTAATTTTTACTAGTGATCCATTAGCTTTTTCATGCCTAAAATAAAAAGAATAATTTTAAAACTTGTATGAATTTCAAAGCCATCTATTGATTGCAGAGGTAACACACTATTACCTGGCTGCCATGTTTGGTGAAACACATTATTGAGTTAAGTGACTTAATTTGGTCCCTTAAAGAAGAAATAGAGATTTGTTCATTCCAGATACTGTCCATGTGTCAATTTGACTTGGAGTATTTGTTGGATCTAATGTTGATTTAGCTATTTCAAGTGAAGCGGTCATTATTACATATTTGATTTGTATCTTGTTAGCAACTCGGAGAATCTTGCACTATTCTGATCTACTGCACTTCACTGTCACTGAAGTGTCTAGTGATTTTGTTGACATTATTTCCCTGCCATAGTGAAAGTTGAGTAGTAGAAACATAAGATGTAGATTTTGTGTAACACCATCTTTTATGGCAAAGTTATTAGCATTCAGTAATTAGAGGAACATAATATTGTCATTGCTTTTTTTTTTCTAATAGCACTTGGGGAGTTTACCAGTTGCAGCCGCCTGCTAGTGGACTCAAAGATCACGCTCGGCCTTGGTGGTGTGGTCATTGTCCTCATCTCGGTCTCCTCGTCTATTGGTATTTATGGATATATTGGTGTCCCTGCAACGCTCATCATCATCGAAGTAAGTTCATGTGATTTGTTAATTATTTGGTGGGAGAGAAACTGTAGAATTTAATATCTATTACGGAAGAAAGTTTAAATATTGGAACTTTGAAATCGGGAACTTGTGTTCTCGCATAATTTCTTAATTTGTATTATTGAATGGATTGTTTTTATTCGGAACTTTTAAAATATATAGGAAGGTGTATAGCAAGGGAGGAAGGGTTTAAGAAAGTTAACTAAAATGATAATGCTGTTGGAATGTCTTCTGAGAAGTTAAATGACGCATGAAACCAGATAATTTAAATACAATTCACTTCTTGATAAAGTAATAGTCAAAGGGATTAGAAACAGTGTGCAATTAGCAGATTGGTTATTGTTCAGGTTAATTATTCCCACTTAACGGGGTAGTGTTTCAAGCTTGAAATTGAAACCATTTCTAGATGTATCAAAATATTCTCGTAGACCTATTGAAAAACTTCAGTTGGTATATGAATGTTCAGCAAAATGGAGTGTTTGCCAGTGTCAGGAAGAGGGAAGCCTGTTATGCTTTTCATGGTTCTCCTAGGCCAGCGACAGACTTTACCCAGGATGTAACCCCACACTAGTTGCCTCATCTGGGACCAATTTACTACTAGGTGAAGAGGAGCATCAGTTGTAAGTAAACTTGCCTAAACTGGTAAATATTCATCCATGCAATGAGTGGGGAAAGTTGCCTTTGCCAGGTATAGTCAATAACAAAGTTCCACAGGTTTAGGTAAGCACATTAAATTTATGGAATGTGGTTATCACAATAGATTGACAACTGTAAAGTCCTGGGATCAATTTCTATGCAGGATTGTCATATGGGCAAGTTTCCATACACCTGTTGTCTGTTGTTTACCTTGTAGTGAATAGGTACTTAGGAGAGCGGCAATCATTGTGAATTGCATCCTAGTGAATGTCAGTCGTTATCCTATGTGAACCTTGATATGCCTGACTGGCTTTGTCCTTGAGAATGGGAAACCATATTGTCAGTATAGCAAAAGTTGCCAATACTGTACTGCTTGGGAAGCAGTTAGGGTTAAATCCTGGTATTCAAAATAGAATATTATTGGCTAGCTTATCGTCTGCAAGGCATGATGTAAGAGCTTGTTTTCTATTTTTCTAGCATGAATTCTTTTCTTTCAGGTCATCCCATTTTTAGTTTTGGCTGTTGGAGTTGACAACATGTTCATCTTGGTTCAAACGTATCAGCGAGAATCTCGTCGTCCCACAGAATCACGATCGGAACACATTGGTCGTGTTGTCGGACAAGTTGCTCCAACCATCCTCCTTGCTTCCTGTTCAGAGGCCGCTTGCTTCTTTTTAGGTATTTTGATAGGCCAGACTCTTGACAGTGGTTTTTATACTTAAGAGGATTGGTATTTGTTTAATTTGTTATACTGTAATGAACTTGCACCACAATTTTTATAGATATTCCTCCTCTTTCAACATTTTCAGTGGACAATAATAGATTTTTTATTAAAGAAAATGCAATTTTTCAAATTATTCATATAGTGTTGAGAGGTATTAGTCACTGTTAAAGAAATGCATGAACTACATTTGATACTTGTAAAATATAATTAATTTTTAAATATCAAAGTTGTATGAAAATAGACTTCCACCAATCAAGCGATTCCATTTTCTGTATTGCATGCCTTTGTCTGCTGGGTTATAATAGACCATTGCAAATCATCTTTGTGACATACTGTATTTCTCATTTCTTCCTTTAAGATAATCGCATGCATATTTAGTGTACATACTACTGTATTTATAATTTTTGAAAGTTTTGTGGTGTTAAGAATGTTGATGCAATGTTAAAGCTTTAGCTGTACTACTAATTATATAATTGCATATCCTATGCTTCCTTCAGTTTCACAAGCCAGGCCCTGATCTATGATGGCCTTAGAATAATATATACAATATTTTTATTAATGACTATAATTTTGGTTGTAAAAGTTGTCTTTAAATTTGAAAACTTATTTGTTTTTTTTCTTGAACATGACAGGAGCATTGTCTGGCATGCCTGCTGTACACGCCTTTGCTCTCTACGCTGGATTAGCTCTCTCAATTGATTTCATCCTTCAAGTGACATGTTTTGTGTCTCTGGTAGCTCTGGATGCTAAACGGCAGGAGGTGAGTGTACCCCAGGGTTGACGGAAGTGGTGGTTGTGGTGGCAGCAGCGTCATCAGTGTTGCACACAAAATTTAATCTTGTCATAATGAAATTTTCTAAGGCTAAATTAGCACAAATTTGTACTGTACTAAAAAAATTGAGGGATTCAGATACTGTGCATCAGATGCTAGGAAATTTGAAAGAAAAGATTGGAAGAAAACATAGAATTTAGTATTAAGAACTGTTTTGAATTAAAATGTTCTTGTACCACTGGTTTAACTAAATGTTCTAGTACCACTTGTTGGAATTTGCTTCTGGATAACTTTTGTATGTTTTATATGCAGTATTTATCCTTTTCCTCTCCTGCATTGGCTTTTTAGTTTTCCTAAAAACTTAAGGGAGCAATGTATGCAGAACTATTCACTCGGGTTCTCAAATCTAAATAAGCCGATGAGAATGAGAGCTGGTTGCCAGGAAATGAGGGGGGGGGGGGGAATAAACTGTGCAAACTGTGTACAGATTTGTGGGATTCTTTCAACAGTGTTTCCTTATTATCATAATTTTAGAGCTCTGGAAAATTTGACCAATATTTTGACTACTGAATGACTAAACAAATACTGAACATTGAGTGAGATACTGTAGATTGGGTTATACAGTAATAATATTGTGGTATGTGTACTACTACCTGTACTTTAAAATATAAATTTCTCTATAATGTTTTATCTGATAGTTTCCTTCTATGATTTTTTTTTTTATGTAGCCATATATAATTTCCACAGGAGAACAGATTTGATATTTTGTGCTGTATCCGAGGCTCCGGCAAAGAAGGAACATTAGAGGAAGGCCCGCTACAGAAGCTATTCAAGCATGTGTACGCCCCCACTCTGCTCTCCCGTATTGTTCGACCTATCGTTATGATTGTGTTTGCTGGGTGGCTCTGCTCCAGTATTGCTGTCTTACCAAAGATTGAGATTGGTCTTGACCAAGAGCTTTCCATGCCTGATGACTCTTACCTTCAGAAGTATTTTGAGGTTAGTAATGTGTTATATTATGGTTAGATTCTTTGTCCACTCTATTTTCCAAGTACAATACTGTATGGAGGAATAGACAATGATTATAATGTCTGCTGTTCCTTCATTCTAAATTTTTTCCATCTTTGTCATTTCCTTTAGCTCTTCTTGCTTTAGCTGTACAGTAATTATGAATTTTTCCAGACAAGTTTATATTCACCTTTTTAATCTGCTTCCATGGTGCAGCAGTACATTATATTTTGTGTAATTGTATTATTAACTTGGTAATTTCTAGGGGAAATTTGCTGTAAAGTACACATAATTAGCATGTATTAAACAGTAATAAGTGTGGCATTGTCTTTGTTCATTTAAAGAAAACAGAGTTGACAGGAGACTATATATTTATACGTTCAATATTAAAATCCCTTTTGTCATCTTGTAGATGATTATTTAATTAAAAGCATGATTGAAAGTTTATAATTACTACAGTAAATTTGGGTAAATGTCTCTGGAGTATGGGTGAGATGGGGATGAATATGAACCCGTAGTGGAAGCAGCACTCAACAAAGCAACGAGTGTGGCTAGTGTAGCCGAGCAAGGGAGGAAGCAGTAAGTAAGGTGGCAAGTGAGAGGTGTTGCATTATATAAGGGTAAATGTGCTTGAAAGATTATACTTGTGGGTGTAAAGTGAAGTATTGGATATTGATTAAAGATAATTTCCAGTATCTGGCAACGTACCTCAGTGTGGGGCCACCTGTGTACTTCGTCCTCAAGGGCGGCCTCAACTTCAGCAGCTTCTCGGAACAAAACAAAATCTGTGGCACTGTTGACTGTAATCTAGACAGCCTTGCAACGCAAGTGTACATATCTTCTCTTCTATCTAATAGGTAAGGTGATGACAAGTATTTTTGTTTGAAGTAGGTGATTAATATAAATATTTGATTGTTCCTTTTGCAGACTATTTAATTGCAATTGTAAATGCCACTATTGCTTTCATAATTGGAAAAATAAAAATGTTCATTCAGGGTACCTAACCAAAGCTTCTGGCATTTAGCATTGTGGACATGACTTCATTTATTCAATCCTCGAAGTGCAGCAATTATCAAAACGGTATTCTCTCCTTATTTTGGCCTGGCTGGTGGTAAAATCTTCTTGTGGCATTCATAAGCATTAAATTGTGATGGTAGCCATGGCCAAACTCCGCTATTACTTTTTCTTACAAAATGTATTAAAGTAAGGAATCTGTGTGCAAAAGTAAATGACTAAAATATATAGTGGAGAACTTTATTGAGTAGGCAAGTGGTATGCTCAAATGATGGGGGACCAAGAGCTGAAATCTGACTCGACCTTTTGTGACCTCCATGATTGATTGGGGAGACTATAGAGCTAATGGAACCATATGGGCAACATTGACATTAAAATACATAGAATGTAAAGTCATAATGTTGACTACAATAGTTAATCATCTGTTAGACTGCAACCCCAGCATCCCATAGGGGTCTTGAGTACTATACTGTATTAGAAAATAGGGCTGTTCCAAAAAAGGTTGGGAACCACTGCATTGGACGATACACACGTGATGAGGACACGTTGAAGGTTAAAACAATTAAAATTTCCAGACTGCATGCTTGTTTATCTCGAGTACTCTTGTGACTAATGCCTCAACTGCACAGCCATGCCCTTCTGCCTTTAATGAGTTCTATAAAAATTTAGTTTTCATACCTATGCCATCTTAATTTATACTCTATACTAAATAGTGATAAAACTGGCTTTCTTCATAAGATTCTCATACGAAGGTTCAAGAAAGTGGGTGGCTTTTGTAGCGTGCAGATTTGGTTACTTTGGCTAAGCAACTTGTCATAACTAAGGTATCCCATGACTTCTCGGAAATAAGAAAGCATATGGAATGTTAGTATAATTTTATTGCCGTTTTAGCAACTCGATTAATGGGCAAGTTTTCCAAATATTTAGGGCAAGTGTCATTTGCACATACAGAAGATCTTGTTCTATCATAGGCTGTATCACCTTTTTTTTTTTCTTGACTTAGTTCTAGTTATATTTTTCTATTCAGTTCATTACATTATTCTAAATTAAGTGGAGTTAAGCTGTAACATACTTTCTGCAAGAAATTAGACAAAAATATTATTAGTTGCCAGCCAACACTAATTACATTCTACCTATAGCTGATATATTATACTTTATTTCAGAACTTTTATTGCCCAACCAGCATCATCGTGGTTGGATGATTACATGGACTGGTCTCTGTATAACATGCAGCAGGAAAGCATTGATGCCCCGTGTTGTCGTGTCAAGGCTGATGGCTCCTTCTGTCCAGCCACTGAATTTAACCCAAAGTGTCAAAATTGTGACATAAACGTTATGGAGGTAATTTTCTGTTAAGAGTATTATTGATATACCTCCAGCTTTTCATACAGTAGTTGGACACTATTTTATGTTAAAGATAAGAAAACAAATGAAACTGGAAGTCTTTTAGATATTGTGAGGCCTGGTTCTTTGCATTGTTTTGTTTGGTACATTGGATTATCTCTGATAATCTCGCTAGTCTTTGGTCATTTATGCTATAAATGTTGTAAATGGGATCAAAAATGGTTTAATAAGGTTTTAGTAAAATTTGTAATACAGTATGAATTGAAATGAATATAAATACACCTATACTGAAGTTGTCAAGGTATTAACACATTTGGAAGATAACCAAAATATATCAAGCACTGAAATTTTGGCATGGTCCAAGAAATGAGGCCACCTTGGTGCCAGGAACCTGTGAGGTACTGACCATACCTTGAGACTTTTCACTTGTATGTTCTTGTACATTATAGTATAAACTTGGAGCCAAATACCTTGTAGGGTGAAGAAATTGTCAAAATACCACCCTGCAGCAAACTGTTGTTCGTTTCACTCTGTACTGTGGGTCTGCCTTGGCTGCAGTACTTGTCACACCTCTGTGGTGACGTCATCAAATGTTAGTGAAAACCTCAAACATCAAGATAAAGTTTCTCACAAATATATTGAGAGATCCAGTTTATCTCGCAATATATTGATAAGGTATACATTAATGAAAAGTTTTTTTTTTTTTCTATATACTATATGTAGAATTTATGAACACAGGTTGAGTATTTTGATTGGTATGGATCAAATGGAAAACCTTGAATAAATCGGGTGTGACCTATAGTTTACTCCTCGGTTTCAACTAATTTTACTGTCCCCATAGGATGGAATGCGACCTGATCCGGCTTCTTTTATGCAGTATCTACCATTTTTCCTAGAAGATATACCCTCGGAGCTGTGCCCCAAGGCCGGCCATGCTGCATATGGCCAAGCTGTTAACATTGTCACAGATGGTCAAAATAAGGTAACTTTATGCAGGCGATGAGTCACAATAACATGGCTGAAGTATGTTGACCAGACCACACACTAGAAGGTGAAGGGACGACGACGTTTCGGTCCGTCCTGGACCATTCACAATCGACTTGAGAATGGTCCAGGACAGACCGAAACGTCGTCGTCCCTTCAACTTCTAGTATGTGCTTTGGTCAACAAGGTAACTTTGTGCAATATTTTTCTTAAGCAGCTCTGATGTCTTTAAGCAGTCCTATATCAAGCTTAATTTAAAAAAAGAAATATAGATTTATCTTACATTTTTTTTTTTTTTTAATTAATTTATTTCAGTTTTCATGACACTTGAACTAGTGAAGCCAACAATGGGATCTTGGCACCATGTTAGACAACTATGTGGAACTTTATCTTTCACTTGTGGCTAGATTGCGAGCTGCTTCCTTAAATCCGTGTTCTCGCCTAGTTATGCTTACGGGGGTTGAGCTTCAGCTCTTTGTGCCAGACTGTGGTATTTGTAGTCATGCACCATCCTTATATTTTAATGTCGCTACTTTTGAAGTAACATTCAAAATTGTGGTATTGAATTTGACAGTTATTTAATCAATAGGAACAACAAATTATCATAATTATCATGTCGCAAGTTTTTTGTTTTTTTTAATTTTTCTCGTCACTTTGTAATCTTAGACGAGTGTTGGAGCAAGTTACTTCATGACGTACCACACCATTCTGAAGACGTCAAGTGACTATTACATGGCGCTAGAATGGTCAAGAAACATTACCAAGAACATCACGGCAGCGATAAACACGGGCTTGAAGGAGCCTCTGTATGAAGTGTTCCCTTATAGGTAAAATTGTCTTAATGTGCAGTATTTGCATGATTTCTCTTTCCACTTAAGTGTCTTCTAGGTTCGTTTATTTAATGAAGTATTTCACTGTCCTTAAGGTTCTAGTATCTACTAGTCATAATTAGGTGGAACAATTAAAACTTTATAGATTAATAATTTATATACAGGTAGTGTAATAGGATCCTAGACAAAAGTTAAATGCAATATAGAGCCCAAATTTAGCCAGGCCTGCAAAAGGAAAGACAGGTTCGTATGGCTCTTGACTATTGAAGGAATAAAGGAAGAAAAGTGCTGAAAGTTCTTAACAAAGGAAAAAGTGATGTACCAGGATTGTGGGATAATAATGAAAGCAAATGAAGATGGAATTAATGTTCAAAGAACATGTGTGAAATAGAGTAAGGCAGGAATATTCCTACTAATGAATAGTGGCATGGAGCAATGAGTAACATTTTTTACTGCAGTTAGCTACTTTCCTTTTGTTAAATTAAAGTTTGTAATGCTAGCAATTGTGATTGAAGTGCTCCGTGTAATTATCTCTTGAGGTTATCTTAGAGATGATTTAGAGGTTTTTTTAGTGTCCCCGCGGCCCGGTCCTCGACCAGGCCTCCACCCCCAGGAAGCAGCCTGTGACAGCTGACTAACACCCAGGTACCTATTTTACTGCTAGGTAACAGGGGCATAGGGTAACAGGTAACAGGGAGCATGATGGAAATAAGAATTATATATTTTTTGCACAGCTTGGAGAATTGTTACCCAAGAGTTATAAATTAGTTGTGCTAAATGACCTTAATGGTAAAGTGGAGTCCCCGAGAATGAGGGAAACGTCGCAAGAATAAATTACTGACTGCCAACTTAAAGCCTCGTGTGGTGAAAAAAGCTGCTATTAATATGTATTTTAAATAAGAACTTGCATACAATACCTCATAAATTATGAAATTTAAAGGAAGTGTTAATTAACAATATGCTTGCTGAGATGTGTAATTACCCAAGTTTGTTAGCATGTGTATGAGGAGAGAGCAATGAGGAAAGTGGCTTATAGTTTTGTCTGATCACATGCTCCTGTGTAACATTAGATGAAGTGGTGGAAAGTTTACCTCAAAAAGTATTAGAGGCAAAAGACTATGAAAGTTGTACTTGAGCAAGTACTTGAGTTGAGAAGTTAATGCAGTGGTTGATTAGTATAAAAAGAAGGGTTGGCTACAAGTTGTCATGTGAGAGTGATAACTTGGACATCATAGCAATTTTCTCGTATTGTAAAGTTGCACAAGTACAGTACTTGTATATTTTGTATACTCTATACTGGATTTTGTTAAGGGATAGTGCAGGGTGAAGATTGTGGAGATGAAAGGTTAATACAAGTGCTTATTCAAAGATGGGAACGACTGGACAAGTTGCCTAAACCAAGCTGTCCTGTAACTCAACAGTGCATGAAAAGTATTTATTTTTAATCTGTAATAGTTGCAAAGGGAATGTTCTTATTCTCTTTAAGAGCTTGTCATTATAAGTATAACTAGTCTTAAATATTAAACAATTATTCAACCCTGATCTAAATAGCAAGTGATAATCTCTAATGTAACCGTTTGTTTCCATAGCGTATTTTACGTGTTCTACGAGCAGTACCTGACTATGTGGGAAGACGTCTTGACGTCCCTGGGCATTTCTATTGTGACAGTGCTCTTGGTGAGCATCCTTCTCTCTGGTCTTGATGTGGCATCATCTTTAATAGTAATTACCACCATCATAATGATTCTCATCGACCTTGGGGGACTCATGTACTGGTGGGGGGTGTCCCTCAATGCAGTCTCGCTGGTCAACCTTGTTATGGTAAGTGCAGTGGGGGAATGTTTATTTTATGCCATAGTGTACTTGTCTAGATGGCATGGCATCGTCTATGCCATGCCATCCCCAGTGTTGTTCAAATTCAGAATTTTAAATTTTGTTTTCTTGCCATTCTGTTTTTAATTATGCTATTCATTTCCTGGTACAGTACTTCACAGAATCTGAAAAGGCTCATGTCATTCACGTTTATATTTATTTTTAATCACGGCCGTATTTGCTTTCGTGATTAAATATGTATCTTGGATAGTTGATACAATTGTAGTTTGGGCTCTGAATATTGGTTGCCTCATTCTGTTAAGTACATGAACGTGATTTCAAAAGAAACGAAAAGTTGTAAAATGTGTAAGTATTTGGGTTAGTTGCTAATAACCAGTGAAATCGTGTGTACTAGCAATTAGTGGTTACATAGATAATGGTGTTAAGAGGAGGCCTCAATTTGAGATTTGCAGCAAATGCATACCATTTCTGGCACCAAAGTCAATACAGCGGACCCTTGCTTTAACTAATCGAGTCTGGACTTGTTCCATCAAATGGCATTTGTTAAATTATATTTCAATAATTACTTTTTACAGTTGATGACAATCTTGGCATGTACATGTGTACAAAGAATGCATACTGCAGACAATGTAAGGGGAAATGATAAAACATTGTTTACTTGCCTGTCTAGAGATTAACATTGTCCTCATACCTGATGAAAGTGGAACACGAGTATCATTTTTCTTGATTAAGAGCTGCAGAATGATTTCAAGGAGAACCGAAATATAAGTGAAACAGTGTAAACAGCTGTGAAATGTTTATAATATCGTTTGTGTGTTGTCGTGTAAATCTTGCATCACAGTACGTGAATGTGCTTGCCTTTGTTAAACTGCTAGTAGAGTGCTCAGGGTGGCAAGGAATGTTGGTGAAGGAGATTCCAATATGATGATGGGGAATAAAATTCTAAATGAGTAATTATCTGAAGAATGCACCAAACCAGAAAGACTGAAAAACTTTTTAAATTTTCAGGCTGTGGGTATATCGGTGGAGTTTTGTAGTCACATTACTCATGCATTCTCCCTGTCCATGGAGGAAACAAGGCTGCTGAGAGCGAAGGAGGCCCTTGTCACTATGGGCAGCTCGGTAGGTGGTACAGCAGGTTCAAAGTACAGTATTTACATTAATGTAGCAGATCACCACTATCAGATGTTCAAGATATTTAATTATACTTTGGTTAACATTAATTTAATAGTTTTTAATGAATAAAGAATGATTTAATACAGTACATTTGCCTAGTTAACAGTATGATGGTTAAAATTATGCACAACTTTCAGTTCAGATATTAAACATGCTGCTTTTTAGACTAAAAACATTTAGAGCAATTATTGGTAATGCATCTAAAAAGTTTTTTTAACTATCAATTTTTTGAGAAGCATTATTCTTGGATTTCACTAAAATGTTTAGTGCCTTATTGAAAGGTCAACATTAGATTTTGATGCCTTTATACATATATTAAAATAAGAACCTAAATGAATTTGTATTTTGGGATTTATGATTGTTGTTACTTTTAGGTATTATCTGGCATCACATTCACCAAGTTTGGAGGCATCATTGTCTTAGCCTTCGCTCATTCGAAAATCTTCAAAGTGTTCTACTTCCGCATGTATCTTGGCATCGTGTTGTTTGGGGCGGCGCACGGTTTGATATTCCTGCCAGTCATGCTCAGCTTTTGTGGTAAGTACAGCATGATATACTCCACTATATAGTATATATAATATACTATTGAAGGTTTTCAAAATGTTATTTTAGGAGGCTACATCGTTGTATCTTATACTTGTATTAAAGCATTTTCTGAAAGACTGTAGAATGGCATCATATAGCTGTAATGGCATAAAGTAGAGCACATAAATTTGGTGCGATTTAAATATTTTTAAATTTTTGGTCGAGATCGGTAAAAGTCTAAACACATGCTCGCTGTCCTACAACTTGGCTCCTCTAAAGTTATTGTATGATAACTCTTATCATGGCATGATTGACAGAAGAATTAGATATTTTTGTAATGCATTGAACATTTTATGAATCAAGTGAAAGTCAATTCTATTAGGCATGCCATTGAGTTTAGCTGCTGCCTGGAATCTTGGCTTGACTGACCCCTTTGGAAGTCATAGTTCATTATCAATGTGTGCAGTGTGCTACAATACCTACTGGTATCTTTTTCATCTATTGGGCAATGTAGATAAAATACGCTTAGTGGGACCGAGTTGTAAGACGGAAATCCTGTTTTAGTAATGCATATTGCTTTAACAAGTGTGTTTATTCCTTGACCTTTCTGATTACCCTTCGTGTTAATAAATTGCATACTACAGCTCCCATTCTGTCATTATGCTAGTGCTGCATGGAATACGTTAATTAAAATGCTACGGTCCTTATAACTACTGTATACCTGCACCAAGTAGTAGTCGTGTAATAGTGTTAAGGTGTACGGTTATGGGGGTCACATTTGGGCGTCTTGATGGTGCGGACAGTCGTCCTAATGCAGGAATTTAAGACTCCTACAATGGTCAAATTAAAATTTCTAAAGTGGTATAAAAGTTCAAATGGGTTGTTTCATGCAGATGGGTGGTATTGTATTCATTTATCTTAAATATGCCATACATAATTGTTTTTAAAATACCTCATTAACTTAGAATGTAATTTTCCTAGTTATAATTGTAATATTGTGTTTACATGTGAATATCAAATTTGTGATCCTCATCTTTCAAAGAATATTTAAAGGTAAATATCTTTGATTTTGGTATACAGTATAATATGGTAAAAAGTTGCTCCAGTTTATTAGTTAGTTTTAGCTTGTAATTCTTTTCCTTATTTTATTGCTTCTACTTTACTATGTACTTTTATTTCTAATGGCTCTGTGGCTGTTGTGTGCTGTTTCCTCTGCTGTTGTGCTGTTTTCCCTGCTGTTGTGTGCTGTTTCCTCTGTTGTTGTGTGCTGTTTCCTCTGTTGTTGTGTGCTGTTTCCTCTGTTGTGTGCTGTGCTGTTGTGTGCTGTTTCCTCTGTTGTTGTGTGCTGTTTCCTCTGTTGTTGTGTGCTGTTTCCTCTGTTGTTGTGTGCTGTTTCCTCTGTTGTTGTGTGCTGTTTCCTCTGTTGTTGTGTGCTGTTTCCTCTGTTGTTGTGTGCTGTTTCCTCTGCTGTTGTGTGCTGTTTCCTCTGTTGTTGTGTGCTGTTTCCTCTGTTGTTGTGTGCTGTTTCCTCTGTTGTTGTGTGCTGTTTCCTCTGTTGTTGTGTGCTGTTTCCTCTGTTGTTGTGTGCTGTTTCCTCTGCTGTTGTGTGCTGTTTCCTCTGTTGTGTGCTGTTTCCTCTGCTGTTGTGTGCTGTTTCCTCTGCTGTCGTGTGCTGTTGTGTACCGTTATCTCTGTTGTTACTTACACTAATGCCAAAAAACCACACTAGGAAAAGTTACAGAAAGTGTAGGGGACACAAACGGCATTACTGCTATGGGAGGAAAAATAGTGTAAAATAGCAGGCACAGAAATGGTACGAAAATGGCTTGATGTTTTAGTGTAGAAGGGGAAAAAATGAAACTGCTTCAGTTATATCAGACGGAAGACATCAGTGAAGGACCAAGCTTAAAGGCTAAACCGAAAAAAAATGAATGTGGACGGCAAAATTGAATGAAACACTAAATACAAAGTGGATAAGTTTTATGTTCATAAAGAACTGGGCAAGTATTGCTTTGGGGATAAGGTTGATTTGTGGAACAAATTACCAGGTAACATAATAGCTGTGGGATTACTGGATAGTTTAAAGCACAAGTTAAATGTATATATGAGTTTGATTTAATATAAATAGGGGCTTCCACTTTTGAACTTGCCAATAGACCTTCTGAAGATCCTTAATTCTTGTGTACTAATTTGTCTACATCACTCACTGTTAATAGTCTATTTTAGTGGTCAAATCTGATGCCAAGAAGGGCTTTGAAGGGCTGGAGTTTTTAAGTGTTACCCTCTAGTCATTATGGGCTGGAGTGAACATGGTTTCCCCCTAGCTGGATAACTGGTTAACTGGATAAGCACCTCCAAAGGATACCTGATCAACCAGGCTGTGACTCATACGTCAGGCTGCGAGCAGCCGCGTCTAACAGCCTGGTTGACCAGTCCAGCAACCAGGAGGCCTGGTCGACGACCGGGCCGCGGGGACACTAAGCCCCGGAAGCACCTCAAGGTAACCTCAAGGTAGCCTCTTCATGACCCTGCGTGGATATTTGAAAGGTTCTCTGGTGTTGTGAAGAATATCACTCTTCCAAAGGATCTCTGCTTGGGTAGAAACCTAATGAAATCCTTCAGAAGGTTGTGTTTTCATTTATTATGAACTCTTTATTTAATATACATTTTTTGTCAGATGATAGATAATCTCATACTGATATAATTTATATAGTGGTTAACAATATTGTACATATTTTGAGTATTATACAAGTTAATTGGTATTTGTGAAGTAATGTTATATATAAAAGATAGAACATTTAAACTTAGGAAATTAGTTATAACTATACAGTATTTACTAAGACATTTGATTATATTTCACAGGTCTTGTAGAATATAACCCCTTAAATTTATTCATATTAATTATAATTACTTCTAAAACTTTGAAAGTTATAAAAGTGAATAAAACTATTGTAGTGTCTTAGCTTTTGAGAGTCTTGGAACGTGTCCAGGATCCTAGACACACTTCAGTTATGTGCCATTATACCTGAAGTGGGGTTACAGGGAATGGCTTCATCTCAGTCTCCTGTAAATACAATCTACATACTGTATACTTAAAGTACATATGTTTGTACATAAACTTAGTTTTGAATTATTCAATACATGCAGATATTTCCATATTTACTGGTACAAGATGTTTCTTGATTATATGAAGCTCTACTGGCTTAATTCATATAAATTACTAATATACAATAATGGCAAAATATCTTCCTAGTAATACTAGCTATATATCAGTAATAACTTTTAAATTTAACTAACCTCTTAATTGGGATTTCCATGTCATAACCGGTTTACACTTAATGGAAAAGTATGTAGCCATGAAACTAGTTTGGCTCCACCCTATAACATGATGCTACATGCCATCCTTTGTGACGAAGAGATGAGATTCAGAGATACAAAAGTCTTGTAACTTTGGACCTTATTTCTACCCCTTTAAACATGCTAAAATAACTTGGCTCAATTTATACATATTCTGTAAATAACATTTGACAGTGTAGTGATTGTTTGATAGTAATTCTAGCTCAAAGATATAGCCATATCCCTTCGTTGAGATTCTGCTGCTTCGAGGCGCTTGCTCCGAGTTTGTTGTTTAAACGTCGAGCCAGTGGGTTACTGACTGGTTTTATAGAAAATGTTTATGCAGTACGGACTGCCATTTTTGTTTCAAATCTTATGTTTTGTGTTGTAAATATACATTATTTATATAGTTATGAAGCATTAAATTGATATAAGCATGTTATGTTACCAAAACAAAAGGAATATTTGTGGATTATTGTATTGTTTGCTGGCAGAGATACTTTTTCATGCTTTTGTGAGTTCAAGATATTTCCTAAGATTTTGACTTTAAACACACCAGAAACACTTTCTGATGTTTGTTTAATATAATATGGTTTGAGTATACATTAATAATGTACATTAATAGTAATAGTATACATTAATAATGTGTACTAATGTTTTAATTGAGCATCTAAATCATGTCAACTTTAGCTAACACAATATAAAACAATGCTTGTGGAATGTTCAAGTTGAAGGCCGATGCAACATTGTTTCATCACTGAACTAAAAATTGCAGTACAGTATTTCTGTTTAATTTTACGAAATGGTGGAATTTATTCCACAGATTTGGTTATCAATGGTTCATGTTAAGATTAATGGCAAAAGAAGTTCTTGCACTCTGATTGTGATGTATGGTCAGTTTCAAGGAAACTGTTTTGCTCGTTATATAAATTTTACACAATTCAAAACACCAAAATGTGTTGATGTACATCTAGTGGAACTACCATGTTTACATAAAAATATTTTCCTTCGTTAAGAAATGTTTTGCAGAAACTCCGTCAGTGTCTACTTAGCAAAGACTTACTGTGCACTTAATACACACTTAAATGAACTGTTAATATAGTATGACTGCTAATTTATTAAAGATGTTAAAATAAGGTGTTGCTGATTTTTAGTGAAGAATTTATATTTATCAAACATTTGCTATTGAAGAAAAGGCTTGTTGATTTGAGAAAGTTAAGGTGCATGTGTAATGCTTGTAAAATTTCATTTGATATACTGTTCAGTACTGTAAATACATAAGGGTTTGTGGCAAAGAAAATTTCACATTAACCAAGTTATGGTGGTATAATTTAACAAAGGGCTGTAGATTCTGAAAGAGCTTGAAGATATTCTACCATTCTAAAGCTTATTAAAGATTCTAAGATTAGCATCTAATCTAGATGTAACGAGAGCAGTGGTAGGTGTAATTCTAATACATTCAAAACAGGGATGTACTTTTAGCCAGTAGGGTTGTTGGAGCACGACTGGAGAAGATCTTGTCATGTGAAGGGCCATCAATAAGCTAACCACAGTTCAAAATCGTGTGGGGGTGGGGCTTGCTGACGAGACAATGTTACTTGGCTAATGTAAACATTAGTAACGTCAGAAATAAATATTTTAGGTGCTCTTCTCTTCCTAATAGCAAATTGATTAAAGATTTTAGTCTCGAAACTTTTCAGTGTTAAACTGAAAAAAAAGTATTACCTAAATAAATATCTTGGCCTGGATTAGGCAAGACAAAAATTTATTGGGCACTAGAAATGAGTTTAATTATGTAGGTTGTGATGCAGGGTTACCTTTATAGGCTGAGACCCAAAGTTAGGATGCAATGGTCACTGAAAGACACAATGTAACATTCATAACAATGTAACATTCATAATGATACATTCTTGTTCATTAACATTCCTCATTTTCAAGCCTTCAATGGATTAGCTCTTCATGAAGAGTTGTGTGGCATGATGAATAGTTTCTAGTTTTATAGGTAAAGGTGCTAGAAGGATTAAAGCTAATGTTAAGGTTGCAGTCTGACAAGCCAAAAGACAATTTAGGTTTTCTAGTAGTTAATGAGATTGGAATAATACCAAAAAAAAATTAATCATAATTCTGGACATGTCATTTTGGTAGGTGGCATACAGCATTAATGTTTCTCTGGTGCCACTTCTTTACCTCTGAAATGTTTTGTTCCTTCACAAAGTCTCTAATCTCCAAGATGCTCTACCATTTCCTTCCCGATTACTTCAATTGTTTATTATAAATGCTTGTTGGTGACACTGGTGTGTCGTTCAGATCCTCCCATCTGTCTCCTTAAGCATTGTGAATTCATTTGCCTTTTTTTCCCAAAACTTCAAAGATTCTAGTCTATTTATTGAAAATTCTCTAATAGCAATATAGCCCTGCAGTCTGTCAGTAGCCAGGGTGATACCTGGTCTGGCCCTACTGCTCATTACTGCTGTATATAGTTGTGTATTGCATCTTGCAGTCCGTCATCTCTGACCCTTGATATCCGCACCGATATTGGATTGTAGACCTGAAAATATATTGCAGAGTTCTTTACCAACTACTTTGTTACTGTCCATGAGACTGATTCCCAAGTCTGCCTAGCCTGATCAGACAATCTTAGTTTTCCTGTGACCCTGAAACCTACCTGACCTCTAGATTTGCTTTAACATACAAAATCCTAACCCAACTGGATTTGCAGTTTTTGGGGTCATAGTACAACCCTGAAGTCGCCCACCCAACCTACCCAACCGATACATAGAAAACGTGGATTTTTGCGAGCCGCTACTTTTCACAATGTTGCATTTGGTAGATTGGTTACCATAGCGTACCATGAAGACATATTAGTTGAGTGGATGGGTGAGAAAACAGCTTTGGCTGCTCCTTTGCTTATACTATATTTGTCATTTTCAAACTTTTACTCTGTAGGCAGGCCCTTGCCTTGATGTAGTCCCAATGTTTGTAGTTTCTCAATACTAAAATGGTTTAGTATCTTGGTATTTTTCCCTCAATTATGTACAATAATTGAATACTATAATGCAGTGGTCAGTGACTACTAATATGTCACATTCTACTTCAAATCTGCCTCATTTTTATCCTTGTTAAACCATGCTCAATCCATTACAAAAGTTATCCTCTTCTCAATTATATTTTTGCAGTACTGTACTGTAAATGCATATCAGTTGCCTTGAACAACAAATTAGGGCCTCCTGCCTGCCTGTATATAGGTTCATGTTTGTAGTTTTCCTGGTTTCCAGGAGCTACTTACATTTTGATGCTGCTTTATATTCTCTAGTAAGTGAGCTGTGTACTATCCCTGGTGCCTCTTGTGTATCCAGGGTAATATCTGGTCTTTTCCTACTGTCATGCTTGTCTAATTCCACAAGATGAGAAAGTAAGGATTAGTACGCATTGCACACACGTGGTGGGGAATCTGGTGGAATCTTAAAGGATGGCTGAATGCCATAATTATATTGTAAACTAATAGGAAGTACTTTGGTCATGTGAAATTGTAGTCACAGCTGTTGTGCATTCACTAGTTTTTAAATGGGTTAGGTGTTTTTGTTTTTTGTTTTATCCGTACAGTTTTTCCTTCTCCTGTATAGCTCCTTTTCTTTCCTGTGCTGATGCCTCTGCTCCCCTGGGTATGGGGGAGGGACTTGATATTAATGATGATAAAGTCAATATCAATATTTATTATGGCTTGGTTTATACATGGATATGACTGATATATTGTTTAATTTTAATTTATTTACAAAAATTTCATGTTTGATTTGTAGACTTTATCCCCTTTAAAATTTACCATTTTGTTTGTTAAGGGAGCAAAGTTTTAAGTATTTATTTTATCTAATTATTTTTTTTCCTTTTAACTGGTTTAAATAACTAAAAGAATAAATGGATAATACAGTACAGTAGTTCAGTAGTTCAATTATTGCTTTCTCCAATTAAAATCCATTTGCTCCTTAGCACAAAGGCCTCAAGGTTTGCTTATAACATTAATTCCATTGGTTGCACAGTAAGCTTTAAACTTTATATTTTGAGTGTCCCCCCCACCCCAGGCTCGGCAGCCAATCGTGCGCGACGACAGAAGAAGGCAGAGTTGGAAATTGAACATCACGAGCAGGAGCGCCGTTGGGTCAAGAAAGCACCGGCAGGAATTTAGCTCTATGCCCAGGAACTGCTTTAATTTAGCCCTGAATTGGTGTAAGAAAACTGGGACCACTGCTCATTGTTTTTTTTTTTTTTTGTTTTTTTTGCCTGGGTGACCGGCACACGCCAACCTTTCGGGATCAATGGCGCACGCACACACATGGGATCAATGGCAAATACATGGGTCAATGGTACATACATGGGTCAATGGCACGCACACATGGCGCTTTTCTTAGATGCAAGACATATCAATAATTAGAAATTTGGCATTCCTTGACTGTTGCTTCAGTTCTTGGGTTGCTTTCACAATCTTGTCTTTGGCTCTAAATAGATGTTTCACTTAAAAAAATAAATGGCCCAAAAAATAGCTGCTGTATTTTTTCTGTAAATATACATTGCTTTTCGTTGATTTTTCTTGTGCTATATAATTTTGTTGCAGGTTTTTGTTTCATTCCATTTCATTTAAATTTGTTGGATTTATTAAATAAATAGAATATTTTCTTTCACATTTTAGTACAGCACCAAAGTTGGTGTTCTTGTCTGTGCAATGTCATAGATGAGCCAAGCTGCAACTCAAGAAAATGGCATTGAACGTACACAGGTGGTGACAGAGGATAGGTCTGAATGGAAGCAATTGATTGGGAGGAAATGAATGCAACTTGTTAGTGACAGTTCATATGGAGAACATCACTTGAAGAAAACATGCACAGCATATTATGGTGGTATTCCTTTTTGTGGTGATTTGAGAGGGCAATAGGAAAACTGGGTATTGCTTCCAAATACTGTACCTTCAACTTCTAAAATACTCTTCCATCCTCTCCTGGCATTATTCTTTCCTTACTCCATGGTAGCATTGAAAAAGTGTGATGATAGTGTAGATCAGAGTTATAGTTGTTGACCTTAATTATTAGATTTTCATGTGTATTGAAAAGGAATGAAAATATGGATGTTGATGGTAGGATTCCCTGAAATCCAGAAATATGCCAAACTTTTAAGGAATATTTTGAAGAGCTGGAAAATGTATTAATATCCTTGGTGGAGTATCCCAGTTCATTGCCATATCCCTTCCAAGTTATAATTCCGTTGCCTTAGCTTATCCTTCATTCTCCAGCATCTTGATGCATTTACCAGCTGTGTTCAACATTAGCATAAAGTAAGGTTGATTAGGTGGTGATACTATGGATTTTATTGAGTAGTGTTTAATCTTACCCTATGGATTGTTGTGTATAATGGACGTGTGCTGTCATGTGTGTGCACAAGCTCTGCCAAATTATGGTATTATTAGTCTTGCCTTCCATTGTTAGTATGTACCATGGCAATATTGTTACCCCATCTATGTTGGGGAATTTATCTTTACATAAAGAAAAGGATACTTTCTTTAGAAAACATAGTTGTTGGTACTATATTCTTCAGAATTGAAGAATGGAAGGGCAAAGTGGTCCTACACCTAACCTCCTAACTACAGAAACGCAGAAATTACTTTAATTAACGTGATACAGTATATATCACTGTCATAGGTTCACACCCACCTATAGTCCTAGTGGATTTTCACATTGATATACAGTATATATTTACCCATATCTCGTTAATGTAATTCGTGTACGTTTCTGAAGTTGGGATGTAAGGTGTGGGACTATGTTGCCCCTCCACCCGAGTGCTTTTGGGTTATACGTAAAAACTTGGACTGGCTTCAGTAGTGCCTCCAGATTACCTGTGATTTCAGTAGGAATCCAGTTGTATGACTTTAACAAGCCACGGTGGTCTAGTGGTAGAGTACGCGACTGGCAATGCCGGGGTCGTAGGTTCGCGCCCACCTGTACTGGTAGTCCTAGTGGATTTTCTCAAACACATTAACTGTATTATGAAAACTATAATTTAGTAAAAAATACATAATTTTTTTTTTTGGGGGGGGGGGGAGGGTGTTAAAAAATTGAGGTACACCAGTGTAGGAAAGTGTTGTTGTGTACTACTGTTTAGGCATTGAACAATGGATCTATGCTTAAGGCTGTGATTTGAGATGTTGACACTTGTAAACAATTTATTGAAATGTGTAAAAATTATTTGCACAGATTGACATGGTTTGAACTCTGGTGTAGAGGTCGTATGTTACAGTCTGCGATTATTTTTCAAAATTTTATTTGTAAAATGCATGTGGGCTTACTGACATTATGCATAATAAAAATGTAACAATTGTTAAATGCTTTGTTTTTTACAATTGTAAAAACATTTTTACAATCGCTAAAACATTTTTACAATTGCTAAAATATTTACTACACACTGATAACTCATTTGGCCAAGCTGTACTATTGTATGTGTAGCAGTTTGCATTGTAAGTTATTAGTGCTGAACTTAGTATATAGATTTTTTTTTTATACTCATTTTCAATAGTCCAGCCATGAGACTAATAACCGAAATGTTACAAAGTTATACGTTGTGTACATTATACACAACTTTTGCCTAAACCAAAGGTGATCTTTTCTTTGAGTTAGGAATGTAACTTTGAGGTTATTAATACTTAATTACTCAATGGTTGGTTCATTGAAGGAATGAAACTATTTGGAGTAACAATTAACAGGTTGGTGTAAGGTATGTTTGTGTACATAGATGGTGGTGAGGGTAGCTTAATGTAATTGGTGTTCTTACATTTTCCTGAAAGAAAATACTGTATTTCCATAGTTATTTTTTTTTTTTTTTTTTGTGCCTTTGCCTTTTACTGTACAGTGTGTGTATACAGGCACTGAGTTACAGAATTTTCTTTCACTATTTGGGATTAAAGGTGATTAACTTCTTTTATTAATTTAAAATTAGTGTAGATTGACAGCTGCACTAACCACCAGATTCAAGTATTAATTTTACCATTAAATAGTGTTATGAAAGCCTTGTACAAGGTCAAGTGTAATACTGTAAATGTAAATACAAAATCTGATTAATTAATACCATTTTCAGTATTACATATTTTCAATATTAAAGTATTTTAATATAATTTGAATGTGGCATTTAAGAGTGATTTAGTTATTTCCTCTATCCTTTTGCCGATAGTATTTATTTTTTCATAAATAGCCATGTTATGTTTTGTCACGCACTAAAGATATCAATATTTAAATATTTTTTTAACACGAGTTGCAGTGAAATTAATTTGATTTTTTATTCCTCAGGGCCAAGGTCAAATAGGTGCCGTATACAGAAGCGTCAATGGAGTCGTATTGCTGAAAGCTTCCATGGATCCATGTCCATGAACGAGGAAGTGCCCGACCTTCCCCAACCAGTCAATGTTTCTGTTGTAGACACTCACATCGTACAGCCCGATATCATTCCCAGCTATGGTGGTACAGACAATGAGGCGTTCGCATGATTGGTTCGGTGTATGTTTAGGTACAATTGTACATATAGTATAGGTGCAGTGTTTTGTATGTGGCATAAACCTATTGGATCTGACATATTTTAGTTACCTTTGATGATCTTGGTGAACAGTTGCAAAGGATTATAGAGAAACAACTTTTTTATCAATTTGAAAATATGGAATTTGGAAGAAAAGTAATTCAGTGTTTTCTCTAAGCACTTTGAAAATTATTACCATTATGCAAATGAAAACTATAAATGTCTCCAGTAATACCTAGTTGTATTAACATAGCATGTGATATTCTGTTGAATAACTTGCACATACCAGCCAGGCTGTTGTTAAATGTGGTCTGGTTGTGCACTGTCTGGCATAGTTTAGTA